CCCTGTCTGTGGACAGGTCACCCAGCTTTTTAGTCTACAGTGAGCTGCCCTACTGCAGGGGAGCCGGGGCTGAGAGGGGACAGGGCCAGTGGTCTCCCTGCGGGTGGGACGCAGGCCTGGAGCCGCTCTCTCAGAGAAGGCACATCGCCCGGGCGGCCCTCTCCCAGGTAACCGGGTGGGAGGAGCCGTGGTGGCGGGTCACAGCCTTGCCCCTCCTGCCACGTGGCCACGGCACCTGTAAAGTGTTCCACGTCATTCCGTGGCGTCAAGTATTGTCCGGTCTCCGCACTTGTCTCTCTACGCAGAGATCTCCATCAGGGGGACGTTCCGCAGCCTTAGGCTCACCACGTTCAGCTGGAACTCACCGTCCTCCCTCCCGCCCCACGCGTCTCGACAGAGGCCACCCTGCTCTCCCAGGTGCCCAGACCAGAAACTCGGGAGTCATCCTGGACATGTCTGTCTCTCTCCACTCCCGGCCCGGGCCCATCCAGTCAGTCCCCAGGCCAGCCAGCTCCCTGCCGGAGTAGCTCTCCAACCTCCCCTGGCCCCTGGGAGCCCCCGCTCTGCGCCGCAGTGGGTGCAGGTCTGAGTGTAGTTCTGCCCTTTCACACGGCTGCTCTAGACCCTTCGAGGGCTCCCTGCCCACCTTAGGATGAAGCTCGAACTCTAACGGGACTTAGAGGCCCTTTGTGAAGCGGCGCCTGCCTAGGTCTCCAACTCCACCTGTCACCCCCCCGCACCCTGGAACACCATGCCTGGGCCCCGCACCACACCCAGCTCACCAGCATGCACTCCCCTGCTGCTCTCTGCCTTTGGTCACCAGGTTTCTCCACCTAGAGAGCTCCTTCCTGTGAAATTCCAACCCAGCCTTTAGTTGCAGTCTAGAACGTGCTTTCTCCAGGAAGCCATCCGTGACCACCTCACCACCGGGTCTGCTCCAGAGCCTCCTCCCCACAGCTGCATTTATGAGGCTGTGTCTTTGTTTCTGACCCACCCACGCGCATCTCCCTTACTCAAGAGCAGGGCTTGTGGGGCAGGGGCTTGCAGCCCTCCTTGCTCTGCCTCTGCGGCCCTAGCCGTGCCCAGCGCACACACACAGCCAGAGCGTGAACGAAGGCCGGAAGGAACCAAGGTCTTTCCTCTTCCCCGCGCTACTCGCTGCAACCAAACAAGTCCTCAGCTGCTTTCGGGTGCCCTCGTCCTCCTGCAATGCTGTCTCGGCCTGCTCTGCCTCCCGGCCACAGCTCTGACAAGGCCAGCACTGTCCTTTCTGCCCTTCCCCTTACTTCATCTCTCTGGCCAGGTGACCTAATTCATGGTCCCCAGACAGTCCCAGCACCCCCCACCCTTTCCAGATCACTTGTCTTTTCCTTCCCTCTGAAACTCATCTTCTGGCTGTGATTTCCATAAATTTTGCACATTTAATTCCCTGTTGCTGTTCACTTCTTGCATCCCAGGTTGAGCTAAGCCCCTGAAGTAATTTAGGTAACAGCTCAATTATCTCATCTCTCCCTTACTCTAATCTTTCCATTTCCCTGGCCACCTAGGAGGCATTGAAAAATGAGATAAGCGAAGTGTTTTCTCCCCAGGCCCGCTTCTCCCCTTGCAGCTGTTATCTCAGTTCGTGTCATCGGCACCCACCCAGTCGCTGAAGCACCGTCTGCTCCTTCCCCCTCGCTCTCCTGCTTGCAGGAGGTCTCCAAGACGTCCTGCTTTCCTGTTGAGGAGTCTCTCGAGTGCACCTTCACTGGCCACGAGGCCCCGGCGTCTTTCTTCTGAACTAAGGCTACCTCCTGACTGTCCCCCTGCCTCCAGCGCATGGCTGTGCCCACGCCCCTCCTCCCCTCCGTCCTCCAATCTGCTCTCCAGGATCCTCATAAAACACACTTTCGTTGTATCCTGCCTCTGCTTAAGTAGCTTCCACGACTCCCTGCCGCCTGCAGCAGGCAGTCTTAACTGGCTGCACAGTAGAATCTTCTAGATGGTATTTACAAAATACTAATACCAAACTCTATCCCCAGAAATGCTGACTTAATTGGTTTTGGATGGCACTGGGTATTGGTGTTTTTTAAAAATTTCCCAGGCGATTCTAGCATGAAGGGTAAGCTGAAAACTATGTGGCCCGGAAGACGAAGTCCCAACCCTTTAGCCTGGTGGTCGGACCCTTAACCCATCGCCCCAGCCTCATGTCCTGCAGTCGTCCACTAACATACTCAGAATTCCAGCTCTCCTGAGATTAATCACTGTATTTGTACCCACGGTTCCCTCTACCTATAAGTCCATTCTCTCTCTGCCCCTCTGACCATTTGGAAAACTCCTACACATCCTTCAAGACCCAGCACAAATATGAGCTTGTCTCATGGGTCTCCTTCCACAGCATCTACTATGTGGCAGGCACGTTGCTGGGCACTGGATGTGATGACTGCATCAGAAACAGTCCCTGCTCTCGAAGAGCTCGCAGTGAGGCGAGGGGCGAGGGCAGGAAGCCCCTTCAGGCAGAAGTTCTCAAGCTTGAGTATGCATCCGAATCCCCTGGAGGGCTTGTTAAAACACAAGCCCATCCCCAGGGTTTTCGATTCAGCAGTCTGGGGTGACCTTGAGACTGCGTATCTCCAACAAGTTCCCAAGCGGTGCTGATGCTGCTGGCTCAGGGACCACACTTTGAGAACCACGGTTTAGTGTGGGCTCAGGGGAGTGCCTGCTGGGGAGGTGACAAGCTGAGCCACCAGGGAGACAGGAGCAATCATGAGAAGAACAGGGGCTGCGGTACTGCAGGTGGAGGGAAGAGCGTGCCCGCAAGAAGGCCCCATGGGAACGAAAGGAGCTTGGTGCCTGGTACCCAGGACACACTGGAAGGGAAGGCGCCTTCTCCCGCTGCTCTGCATGGGCCTGGGTTTTAGACCTGCACCACCTTCCGCTCTAATTCCTTTCTTCTGCCTCAGCCCCTAGACAAGGTGTGCATCACAGCCATCTGTGGATGTCCAGAGCCCGCCCAAGGCTTGACACAGTAAATGCTGGGGGATTCTGGCTGGGGTTGGAGTTTAGTGTTCTGGCACTTTCTCTGGGCTGTAGGCCAAGGAGAAACCCATTTCTCCTACAGCAGTGTGTCTTAACGCTTCATCTTCCTCCATTTTCCTCAGACAGTCCCAGCACATCCATCCTCTGTCTAAATCAAATGCCCTTCTCCCAGATTCCTGCCACCTACACAGATTTTTTAGCCTATTTAGTGACAGAAAGAAAACTTCCTCCAAGTCAAGTGGTCCCGCCTCACTATCTTCCCAAGCCCCAGGAGTTGGGGAGGGGTTGGGGGAAGGACCACAGCCCAGAGGCCCTCGGGGCTGCACCCTGTAGCATTTCCACCTGGCTTTGGAAGGGGAAAGCAGTCATAGCGGGAATCAAAACTGCCTTCCTCAGAAACGCTGGGTGGGAGGCCGCGTTTCCTGGGAACGGAACCTTGGCCAGCTCCCGGAGGTGGTTCATGCTCAGGACAAGTGGAACAAGGCCGGCCTGGGGGGCACCCTGGAGCCAGCCACCCTCGGCGGCGGTGGATGGGCCTCTTCCCTGCCTTGTCAACACTGGGGAGTGGAGCAAGGAAAAGACTCAGGGACTCTAGCTCAGATACTCTGTGTGGCAGGATGGGGTTATTGGTTTGATCTTGGTTTTGTTTTTTAATTTCGCTTCCTCTTCCTGGAGAACAGAGTATATACACCCTTTTCTGAGGGGGGTCTCTGCAAAGTACAGACAGTCTCCAACTTAACGATGGTTTGGCGTACGACATTTCGACTTTATCATGGTACAAAAGCAGTCTGCATTCAGTAGAAGCCATATTTCCAGTATCCATACAACCATTCTGTTTTTCACTTTCAGTACAGCATTCAATAAATTACATGAGATATTCAACACTTTTTTATAAAATAAGCTTTGTGTTAGATGATTTTGCCCAGCTATAGGCTAATGTAAGCATTCTGAGCATGTCTAAGGTAGGCTAGGCTAAGCTATGATGTCCAGTAGGTTGGGTGTATAAAATGCATTCTTGACTTAGGATCACTTACGATAGGTTCATTGAGATGTAACCCCATGGTAAGTCGAGGGGCATGCGTATAGACAAGACAGATCTCTGGTTTCACTGGTATTGCGAGCTTTGGGAAACAATGGTGTGAGGATCCGTGGTTCTCAGACTTGGGTGAGCATCAGAATCCCCTGGAGGGCTTCTGACAGCCCAGCTTGCCAGGTGCACCCCGGAGTGTTGGATTCAGCAGGCCTGCAGTGGGACCGGGGAGTCTGCATTTCTAACGAGTTGCAGGTACTGCTGATGTTGCTGGTCTGGGGAGCACACTTTGAGAGCCTCTGTTCTAGCATAATACCGGCCAGAGTATGCTAAGAATCTGCCCGTCACTGCAGGACAGAGGTTTATTTGTCTTGTATGTGCTTACTTGTATTTTCCTTAACCCCTTCTCCCGAACAGAACCTGAACTCCCCAGGCCCCTCTCCCGCCAGCTCCATGGAGGGGCAAAGGCTCGTGTTTCCAAGAGGCCAAGAGACAGAAGCCGATCCCTGGGGAAAGGCAAATGGATTAAGAGCCTGAGAAGATTCCAGGGGGAAGGGGAGACAGGATGAGGAAGTGTCCACTTTTTGTTCTTTGCATTGCATAGATCTAGAAATCATACAAGTATTTCAAACACAATAGGCTTAGTATTTCTTAGCTCCAGGGGAGGCGGCTTCTTCCCAGAAAGGAGGGGTGCGTGGAGCAAGGGCCACCCTCAGTGGGACGGTGGAACAGCACATGACTTAGAGTCAAAGACCTGGTTCTGCCCGGGCTGCTCTGTGACCTTGAAGGATCACTTCAGCTGTCGGAGCCGATTTCCCGAGCTGTAAAATGTGTAAAAATGAAACCAACCTTGAAGGGGTGCCATGGGAGCCAAGGTGGGTGACAACGAAGTAAACCACTGCGTGGATGACAGTGCCGATGTAGCCAACCTGAGCTGTCTTGGTTTCCGCAGGAAGGACCAGTACCTCCTCTCACCCGTGAACTGCTGGTATCTGGTTCTGCATCAGACCCGGCGGGAAAGCCGCGATCACGCCACCCTCAATGACATCTTCATGAACAATGTCATCGTCCGCCTCTCCCAGATCAGTGAGGATGTCATCAGACTCTTCAAAAAGGTGGGCAAGTGGGCGACCCCACCTGTCCCAGTTCTCTGCCCCAGGCTGGCCACGACAACACTATGTCAGCCAGGGTGGGATGTGGTCTGGGGTCAAGGGACCAGGAGGGCAAGTGTGTTGAAGGGTGCAGGGGGCCGAGGGCTGGACTTGGCCCTCCAGCCCTGCGTTTGAACCCTGGATGTGCCTTTTACAGACTGTGTGGTCTCAGCTACTTCAACAACTACTGCCACAGAAGTCAAAACCTTTGCGTGGGTAGGTGAGTAGCACACACTCACTGCAGGGAACTGGAACAATGGAGATGAGCACAAACACAAAAATTAAAATCACCTGCAATGTTGTCACTCAGAGACAATCGCTTTGATGTCCTAGGAATTTCTTCTTTATATATACACATGCAAATACATTTTCTACGAGTGCTTATATTTATACACTTTCTAGTGTACACATACATTTTCCAGATGAGATCATATTGCATTTATGATTTTACTAACTGATTATGTTACCTAACAAATTGTGTAACACTATTACACAAGTTTCCCATGCCAATAAATATATTTCTATTATATCATATTTTGAATAATACTATAGTATTTCATTATATAGATATGCCCTAATTTATTTAACTAATCTCTTATTGTTGAACACTTTTAGGTTATTTCTGTTACTTTACTCTTATAAATAATGCTGCTGTGAGCTTCTTTGTCACATCCACTGTTACTTTCTTAGGATCAGTTTCTGCAATGGGACTTTCGGCATCAAAAGTTTGGTCATTTTTAAGACCTTTGACAGAGTACCCCATCACTTTCAGAAAGATCGTACTCATATAAACATCCAGAAACTGAGTGTGGAAGGAGCAGTCATTTCTCCTGCCCCCGCGGTGTCTGCATGCCGAGCTCCTGGCACAGTGCCTGGCACTGGCTAGGTGCTGTGTGAATGTTTGGAGAATGGAACTCATGCCTGCAAACTTCAGTTTCCTGTCTGTGAAATGGGCAAGGTGTTTAGCTTTTGTGAACCTCATCCTCCTTGTCTGTCCAGTGGGGTTAAGATCAGCCACTTCCCAGGGGCAGTGTGAGGGTTAAACAGACGGGACACGTGAAGGAGAGAGGCATTATTGCAAAGTGGTTTTCGATTTGGCCTCTGAGTCGGGAATTCTTAAATTTGGGACTCTGGTTCATAGCCCTGGTTCCATGATTTATTAGCGGTGTGTCTTTGGGCTTGTTAGTTCAATTCTCTGTGCCTCAGTTTCCTCATTTGTGAAATGAGGATGGAAATGAACACCCACAGGGCAGTTGGAAGGATTAACAGGGTTGTCATCCCCACTTATGGCCTGGAGAGCATGGCACCTGGCACTTAGTGAGCTCCCAGCGAAAGCCGGCTATTATTATGGAAATGTAAGGGACTATTGTTACTAAAAGAATCTAGAACCAGTTTTAGGGCTTTGGTGACCTGGGATTGCTAGAAGCACCAGGAAAGGGACAAGTCAATTTAAAATATAATCATCTCTCCATAGTTTGTGTTTGAATTGTCCACTTTGAGGATTACGTTGATAGCAAAATCGTAATCGCAGGCTAATTTCCTCCTGCCACACAGTATGCCTCTGGTTTCCTCCTGGGGCCGTGTTTATGAACGTGGTCTAAGTTTAATATTTTCGTAAGCCAACATAATTAGGAAGGTAAATACAGTGCAAAAAAAAAAAAAAAAAAACACGCAGTGCTTTGCAAAGCCAAACTGAAGGGATTGAGACGTGCGCAAGTTTGGCTGCTGGTCCCGTTCCAGCCCCGGCTGCCGCTGCTGTCACATCTCTTTTCCTGGGTGGGAGCGACTCACAGAGAAAGGGTCATCAGGGCCTTTAGGAAATGAAGGGTCTTTTTCCTGAGCTGGGCCCTGGGACAGGCGAGATAAATCTTTTCGGTTCTCATTTAGGCTGACAGCAGCCTGACTTGTGATGGAGGGTAACAGGGCGGAAAATAATGAAACAGTGTCTACAGCTGAGCTCCGGGCTGCCTCGTTACCAGGCCTGTGCCCGTGGAACAAAGGAAGCGACCCAGCCCACAGGGGCCGGGAGAGAGACGGGACAGAGCCTGGCTGGCTGACTTAGCACAGCACGGCCCTTTGTGTCGCATCGGTGCATCGGTGGTGTCTAATCTCAGAACGAGGCCTGCTCTTTAGAATGTTAGTTCCTGCAGCCCTCGAAACAACCGTGGAGGCTGGGCCCTGGTCAGACTGGGGAACAGTGGCATCCTCGCAAACTGCATTCGACAGGTGACAGTAAAGCCTCCTGAAGCTGCAAGGAGGACCCAGATTGGTGGCTTTGGGCCCCTTGTCATCACCAGCAGGAGGCAGCGTGGCTGGACTTTGGGAGTTTGTCTCAGAACTGCCTCTCAGCGACCACCCTGGGCAGGTCTCTCTGAGCCTCGGTTTCCTCAGCTGGGAAATGAGATGGTAACAGAGCCTGCTTCGCGGGGCTGCTTTGATGGGCAGAGACAGGTTAAATGTCCAGCACAGGCCTGGTATTCAGTAGGTGCTCATTAAATGGTAGCTCGCCAGCGATCCCCAAGAATGGAACCCCTTCCCCGTGGCTGAGCTGCGGTCCTAGTACTCAGTGGGTCCTCGATGACCCTGCCAAGTACCCCCGCCCCGCCGCAGCAAGTGAACGTGGCTCCCAGGCCAGGCGTCTGTCCTGTGCCATCTTCTGGCTGGGGCTTGACTTCATAGCTTACCTTTTCATAATTCTCCATTTTCCCCTTTGCCGTGGAATCTGTTCTGAGAGGCAGCACTTCACATTCCAGATTCCACGCACGCGGTCCCCGCTTTAAGTGTGAGAGATGCGAGGTGTGGATCAGCCGTGGAAAATGGACTGGTGGAGATCTGAGAGGCATCTTTGGTGGTCGGGACTCTTACGGCTGCAGGCAGCAGAAACCCAGCGCACCCTGCTTTGAGGAACAAAAGGATCTGACCAGTTCTCCTGGCTGCAGGCATGGGGCGGGCTCCAGGGGCATAAAGGCTGTTACCAGAACTCAGTCTCACTGAAGTTCTGCTCCAGTTTTCTCTGTTTTCCTTTTTGGGGGAGGTGAGGGGCTCTTTCATAGCTGGGCCCTCCCCATGTGATGACCAGATGGCCCCCAGCAGCTCCAGGCTCACATCCTGCCTGCCTCAAGTCCCTTTTCCCAGAATTGGGTCTTCTAGGCTCCAATTGGCCCAGCCCGGGTCAGGTGAGCACAGCTGAGGCTGCACCTGTGGCCAGGGAAACATACCCGCCCCTGAAGCCAGATGCACACTCAACTCCACCTGCCATAGGACTGAGAATGGGTGAGGGGGGTTCCCCAAGAAAAATTAGGGTGCCGTCCCAGGAAAGGAGAAATAAAAACATCGATGTCCACTAGGCTCTCTGTTCCAGTTCTTGTGTCATTCTGTGCAGTAGCTGTCCTCCTCTGCTAGATGGCCACTGGGGGACAATTGTGATCAATAGAAAATTCTCCCCAAGGCCGAAATGAAATCTCAGTGTTTCCACTCGTGGGTCCTGATCATCTTTTGAGGGCCACATAGATCACACTTGTCAGTCGCTCGAAGACGGAAGTTATGACCACCCACCCAGGTCTTTCCTCCCTGGGGGCAAACATTCCACGTCCCTTGGTCTGTTCCCTTGGGATTTGGCTTTGCGTTCTCTCCCCACCTTGGCCATTGTCCCCGCGTCATGCTCCAGGTCTTCTCCGACTGGCAGAAGTTAACGTTGAGAACCAGTCAGAATAGTTTAGGAAGGTCTGACCAGCTCAGCGCAGGGCAGGGCTGTCCAGACACTTCGTTTCTAACAGTGAGATCTATGGAGGCGTTTGCCTTTTTAATGCTAGTCTTGCCACGATCGACACTCTGAACTCTCAGTCAGCTGAAAGCCCGGATATTTTTGTATCAATTGTTTGTTTAATCCAGCCGATGAACTCGGCAGTTGTATTTCTTTATATTTGCCCCTTTAAAACTTTATTAGATTCCAGTCAGATGGGATTAGTGTCCTTATTTAAGTGGTTTTTTAAGCAGTAAAGGGTAACTTCCTAGAGGACCTCATTCCTCCTCTGCGGAAAAAGCCTGTTTTGTCACCTCTCCATGTCTTCTCCTCTGTGTTACCTTCTTTCACGTGTCAACTCTTCGGCCTCATGTCTGATTCTTCTCTGCTCTCAATGGAGAGGTGGGAAGTGGGGCGGAGAGGTGGGAAGTGGGGCAGAGAGGTGAGAATGAATTCACAATGGAGCTGACCCTGGAGTTGGGTGTTGAAGGATGAATAGGAGTCTGCAAAATGGAGAAAGGAGGTTGGGAGTTCAGGGTCTGGAGAAAGGCAAGAGCACTGTGGGTAGAGTATGTCATGAGGGAGGTCAAAGGCAACTCAGGACAGAGGCTGCAAAGTCCACAGCTGAATGTGGCGCTGAAGTGTGATCTTTGTGGCCTTCACTATGTTAAGAAAAATCAAACCAACATTTTAAATTTTGGAGATTTCACATAAGATCAGGATTTTGTTTTTCTCTTACAAAATCAGAAGCTCTGACAATACCAGATCCACACGGGCTCGTACTTGGCAGTAGTAAGCTGTGGCTGAGTAGCTGCCAGCCCCACCAGGCTGGGCACGTTCTCTCCCCTGCCCTGCTGTCCCTGCGGTTGTCCGGAGAGTCACATCTACTTGGCTCCTTTGTTTTATTCTCTCTGCCCTTTGTGCATTTAGGTTTGTGGACCCATCTTTGAACATGCTCTAACCGTGGCTCTTAAGTTCTAGCATGCACCAGAGTCACCTGGAGGGCTCTTTAAATGCAGCCTGCGGGGCCCCAGTCTCACAGTTTCCAATTCAGTAGGTCCAGGCCAGGGCCTGAGAATCTGCATTTCTAACAGATTCCCAGGTGACGCTGATGCTGCTGCTTTGGGACACATGGAGAATGGCTCCTTGTCCATCGTCCTTGTTTTGCTGATGCGGAAACTGAGGCCAACATCTGGTAAGGGCAGAGTTGGCCTCAAAATCA